GCCAAAAATAAGAGTGTAGATGTCTCCAGCAACACTTTATGATATCCTCCAAAGAGAACCAAAGGAGCCGTGATAGTGCAATACCTTATAAAAATCACTTTATTAAAACTAGATACAAGATCATAAGGAACAAAGGCATATAACAGAGCAAAATGCAGAGAGACTTCCTGGGAAACACGTGACATCACCTGCTAGGCCCCTCCCCTTCTGTATCAATGCACCAGGGCCAGCCACCTAATCCCCAAAGTGATTAAACAGTCCACATTCTGTCCCCCGATCCCCACTGAACACAGGGGGACCAGAGAATTATTTTTTTTAAAAGCTGCACAGCGTGGATTAGCACATTGGCACACAGAATTTGGGAGTCCCCGCCGCTCTACCTCCAGGCCTCCCCTGCTAAGTTTGTAGAGCCGGGTCCAGTACAGGAGGGCTGGTGATACCCCCCTATCAGCAGCCCTGGTTGTGACTACAGAAAAACCCAGCCTAAATAAATGAATGATGCATGTAGATAGGAAGTGGTTTCAAAAAGGCTGCATGAGATCATAAGCACGGAGGTGAAAGAAGGTGAAAACAAATATTTAATCCTTAAGGATGGCAATTGCTTATGACACATAGTCCTATTCAGTAAGTGTTTGTATCTACCATATATGCACCTAAACAACGTGTTATTTATTTAAACATATTTTTCAGTTATGGCCAGATGTCTATAAGTTGTTTTTTAAAGGAGCCTGGACTTCAGCTTGTGGATAGGAAGTAGCTGCAAAGAGCGTGGAGAAGATCGTCAGTGCTGAGATACAACAAAGGAGAAAAGGGCATGAAAAAAGGTCCATTCAGTTCAACCTTTGTGTGTATGTGTGTGATGTCATTAACATAGGGGTTTATAGTGAAAGGAGAAGACAATGGTATTTTTGCTTAATTAGGATGAATTTGTTTTGTAATGTAAGAAAATAATATACGGACGGAGTTTAGTGTATTTTCACCAACCCTCGACACAGAAGATATAAAGCCACCATACCTACAGAAAATCAGATTTTGCTACAATAAATTTAAGAGGGCATCTTGCCACTTCTATGTGAGTTGGCTGCCTTCATACATCCAGGGATCCCAGGTGATATAATGGTCATGACCATATTTGGTCAGTGATGTCACCTGGGATCCCTGCTATTGTGTTTACATTCCTGCCAGCACCAGGGATCTGTCATTTATCAATGGGAATGAGGCAGGGAGGCATTGTTGGAAGGTGGGTCATCGCAGTGCTGACCCAACATTGTTGGACGCCAGGTAGTTATGACTGGTGATTAATTTACATCACTGGACAAAGTGATTGATGATGAATTACATTGAAGGACTACATTTACATTTTTTCCAGATTCCTATAAGTATTGGAACAAACTTCCACATCATCTTTGGGTAACAAGCCTTTGTATCTCAACATTGGGACAAGGTGCTTTGCAAATGAGAGAGATCATTCCACCCCCGCTTGCAAAGTACCCCCCGATATTGAAAGTCATTTGGCCTAGTATGGCACAAAGAGAGAGTAGGCTGCATGCTCACTGCCCTCCAATCCCTTGCTACCTGAGCTGCATGCCTGTATAAGGGTCTAGTTATAATTTTAAGATAAACCCTATGCCTTTTTTTCAGAATGTCACATTCAAAGGACTACTTTGTACTGTCCTATAACACCACATGTAGATTTAAGGCATCCAACAAGCATATAATTTAAATGATTTGAGTATTTTCCATCGATCAATATTCAAGTATTTTCATAAATTTTAACTATTTCAATATTTCCTTTTCCCCTCTAAATGGTATTTGTTAAAACTGGTATATGGCCACCATGGCAGGGCTCAGTTACCGGTGCCCATTTTTATTTAACAATAATCTGCCTATTAGCCTTGAAAAAGGTCAAAATATTAAGATTCAGCTCCCATAGACTTTAATGGGGTTTGGCACTAAGTTTGGGGTTCAGCAATTTTTATTGAGTTTGCCAAAGCCGGACAGATTTGCTCATCCCTTTTTAAATAATACACATTTATGCATCTGTTTAAGGGAAAGAAAAAATGCTCAAAAAGCCAAATTATGCAGTCTATTTTTGAAGAAGTGTATCTTATACTACAGGTGACATATAAATTGTACTCAGAGGTTATGTTTTATAATGGCAGCCCGCAAGTCTATTTATTTGTGGCAACATTCATATACAGCAATATGAAAGAACAAAATTGAATCGACCAGAATAGTGATGAACCTTTTCAAAAATACACTCACCTTGTCACTTATTCTGAAAAGAAAGAGCTTTGCTTTAATATTGTCAATTTGGGACTGTAGAAGAGCCAAGTCAATGAACAACGTAAATAGCCTGCAATAGTTCATATTTGTCAGAGAAAGTAACAAGGCAAAGGATAAAAAAATACAAATTTTGATTCAGAGATTTTTCTAAAATTGCAAGTTGTACTTCAACTGAGGTGGGCATTTTTAAATCAGAGCATGCTGTATATGATTCCAACATAAACAAAAAATGGAAGTCTCATGGAACAACGAAAGATGAGATTTGCCTAATATACTGCTGTATTTGCCTTTGTAAAAAACAAAATTATCTGCTGGAACCACCCTATTATCCTTACGGGCTGATGCAGCAGATTTTATATTACTGATTTCAAGCCATTTTTAATACAGTACATAACCCTTCCCCTTGGCTCAAGCTTGATCAGGCATCCTCCTGTTGGGGGCAAATAAGCTGAATGTATTTTAGCTGTTAAGATCATTAGAAATCTTACCTATAATGTGTAGCTGCCTGTTGTGCATTAGAGTTTCCTTTTGGGTATAGACTGTAAGTACTTAGACACCTGCCCACCTATGCACTGAGCAACTTTATTTTTTTTCTTTACGACCCATGCCAATTGTAAAATATATTGCAACACTTTGCTATTTCTCTCTCTGTTCAAAGAAAATCAAATGTTCATGTATATGTGCTGTGGGACCTTGAGTCTATTCCTGTGCTCAGTCTTTGTAGTGAAGAACAATGTATCTGTTTTTACCTGTATTTGCTATAATATAAACTCATTGAATGATAAATCTTACCTACCTTTTTTTTTAAATTTAAGGTGTGTATATAGCGCCATTAATTTATGCAGCATTTTACATACCGTACAGCCACATCAGTCTCAGCCCTCAAGGAGCTGATGAATGAAGGTCCCTAACTTACATACATACACACGCCAGGGACAATTTAAACAGGAGCCTATTAACCTACCAGCATGTCTTTGAAGTGTGGGAAGAAACCCTTACAAGCACAACATGAATACGCCATGCTGATAGTGTCCTAATAGCGCTGCAAGGCGGAAGTGCTAACCACTGTGTTAATTGCAGACTGCAGTACGTCTGGCCAACATTTTTCAATGGAAATTAAATCAGTAAACTACATATAATTTATTTCAACACATTTTTTATTATTGCCAGAAGCCTATAAATTGTGTTCTTTTAAATAAGCCTAGACTAAACCTTTACATTTTGGTTTGTTAAAATATAAATAAAACATAGTAAAATCAGATTAAGTGCTGGTTTCAATCCAAAAGGCATAAATTTGCATTTCATCTGAAAAAACATTGTTTGCAATGAAGGTTGTTCCCATCTCTAACACAATAACTATAAAACACAATAACTATAAGTCAGCACACAAAAAAAAAAAAAAATTTATAATATAATACCCATTAAAGTCGTGTCACAATCCTTCCCCTGAAGTACCAAATATCATATATCAACCGACTTAAAATATACTCAAAGTCCAAATAAATGTCCCAAATCGTGAAAAACTCTGAAAAGTTGTCCAAATTGCATCCAGATCTTGACAAAATAGGTACCCACTCGTACACAGTGAAGATGAATCCCAGATGCTTTTCAAATACCTCAAAAAAAGAAAAATCTAGACATAGTGTATTATCTTAGGTCTTAAAAGCCACACGTGCAGCATGCAAACACTACAGTGCCACAGCAATCATGTAAACATACTCAATATACACCACTGCAAACCATATAGTAATAATGCATAATTACCCTAAATTCAATATAATCAAACATATAATCCAAAATTATAGGCATGGAGTATCCTCAGATAGAAATCCTCTTCTCCAGACACTTCCCTTAAACCTCACAAACAGACCAGAGATCAGCGTGTGAATCAAATAACATACAAATTTTATTGTAGCCACTTACATTGTAGACTGATAAAAACAGCTTCCTGGTCCAGACGATGTATATACAGCCATATTGTGATATCACACAGCACCCTGGTATACAATAGGTATATACTGTCACAGTCCTTGTTGACAAAGTCCGGAAGTGACGAAACGCGTCCGAGGCACGTGACGTAGTGACGTATTTACGTTCCCGGAAGTGCCGTGGTGGCCATTTTGAATTCTGGAGCGCATGGTGGTCTGTATTCCTGAGACTCTCAGTACACTCCTGGCATCCTTCTGGAGCTGAAGTGTTCCCATCTCTGCAGTTTGATTCTGATACGTTTAAAAAAAATGGTCCTGTGCGAGTTTAATCTGTTCAGGTGCAAATTCATCTCCATAGACTTTAATGGGACCTGGCTGAAATTGCAATTGTTTGTCCACATCAATGCAAATCCAGCTATTTCCCTCCTCCTGCTCCTCTCATGTCAATAGCAGGTTTCTAAGGAGGAGGGCCACCACATCTTTAACAACTGATGGATCATCAGCCATCACAGGGTTTCCCTTTGAGTCTGGTATTGATTTTAAGGAGAACCCCATGCCAAAATTTAATTTAAAAAAAACGGCGTGTCCCCCCCAAAAAAAACCTATACCAGACCTTTATCTGAGCATGTGCAGGCACATGTGAGATGAACAGGGCTACACATATACACTGACAGGTCTGCAGGAGACCTACATGGCAGATCATTGGTGCAATGCTTTAGAGCAGGGGTATTGAATTAAAATTCAAGGAGGTCCGGTCACTAAAATTTTCTTCTGGCCGAGATACGAATAGGGTGTGCCCATCAGCGTGCCCCCTTACATTAGGTGTCGCCATCAGAGTGCAACTTTACATCATGTATTCCCATCACATCAGGTGTGCCCGTCAGAGTGCTCCTTTACACCAGTTGTCCTCATCAGAGTGCCCCTTTACATCAGGTATCCCCATCACATGGCCACCTTACATCAGGTATTCCCATCAGAGTGCACGCTTACACTCAATGTACCCCTTTCTATCATATTTCCCCATCAAAGTGCCCCTTTATATCATATTCCCTATCAGAGTGCCCCTTCCCAAAGTATGTGCCCATTTGTGCCCCCTTAACATAAAATGGGCCCATCAGAGTGCCCCTTAACATAAAATGTGCCCATCAGAGTGCCCCTTAACATAAAATGTGCCTGTCAGAGAGCCCCTTAACATAAAATAAGGGGCATGCTGATGGACACATTTTATGTTAAGGGGCACTCTGATGAGCATATTTATATTAAGGGGCACTCTGATGGGTACATTTATATTAAGGGGCACTCTGATGGATACATTTTGTTAAGGTGCGCTCTGTTGTGCCTATCAGAGTGCACCTTAACATTAGATGTGCCCGTCAGAGTACCCTTTAACATAAAATAAGGGGCATGCAGATGGGCATATGTTATGTTAAGGGGCACTCTGAGGGGCACATTGTATGTTGTGCCCCTTAGCATTCAATGTGCCCATCAGAGTGCCCCCGTAAGACTACACCCTACTTTGAGGGCAGACAGGAGCTGTGTCGGGATCCTTGCTGGATGCTTGTGTACAGGCAGGGAGCGGAGAGACAGTAAGCTGAAAGGGGCAGGGCGCACACGTTATGTCATGTTCCCGTGACCACCGTCCTGCTTAGCTTGCGGATCTGTCATTGTGGGCTGGCAAGCTGGCGGTCCAGGAGGCAGCGCTGCTGCCCCGTTCGCAGACTGCATTCCGCCATTTAGTGACCTCTGCTTTAGAGGCTTCAGAAACAAAAAATAATAAATGCACTTTTTTTAACCTGCAAAAAAATTAGCATTTATTATTTTTAGTAATAAGGTGAGCCCATCCTTTAACTGGATTGCATTTAGTTGTGCATGGTAGCCAATCAGTTTCTAACTTCAGCTTGTTCAATTAATCTTCAACTGTAAGCTGGTTTCTATGCAAAACTGCACCAGATTTAGCACTTTTCAGTTTTTGTAAATCAACTCCTATGTATCATAACCAATTGTCTTTTTCATGTGAAATAAGATTTAACTTTTTCTTCAGATTTAGGTTCAGCTTTAGCATCAGCTGCACATCATTTAAATTCAAAACATCGTCCTGGACCAACTTCCTCATTGTGATAGCAAAGGACCACATCTGTGAAATGTGTGTCATGTGATAGGATGACAACATAGGAGCCCAACTTGAAGACAGTTGTCAACGCATAACAGGATGTACCTGAACGAAAGCATTCATGGCAGTTTCACCAAGTACTGTTTTAATGAATGCCGCAGAATTAAATTTTTAAATGTTAGTGACTGTGTTAATATTTAATTTAACTCTTCACCAGTGGTTCATTTGAGATCATTACGCAATTTTTGCTACCCATGCCTAATAAAAAAAAAAAAGGAAATAGTATTTCAGAGATTAAGTTAAAATTAAGGATTAAGTGAACCACTTTGTGATCAAGGTCCAAACACAAGATCACATATATGGGGCACCCAGGATTAAAGCCCACTTCCTGGATGCTGCATATATGTATTAAATGTCGTAAAGGGTTAAGTGCTATAGTAGGGGTAGTGTAAGGATCTGGAGATAAGTTGATAAGTATACATGTTAAAGAGGAGTTCTGCCCCCCCACCAAAAAAAAAAATCAAAAAAGTCAGCACCTACAAATGCTGTTGTTGCTAACTTTTAATATTAGGGAACTTACCTGTCCAGGTGTCCTCACCCTGAACTGATGCTCCAATTGGCTGTCAGGTACTGGCACCGCCATCCTAAGGGGAACTGGCAGTGAAGCCTTGTGGCTTCACAGCTGATTTCCTACTCTGCATGCGCAAATCACGCTGCACTTTGTGAATGGGCCGCAGTCCACAGGTCCCAGAGGGTTGCGGAAGGAAGGAGGGGGACTGCACTTCCAGCCACAAGTGCGGAAGGAAGGAAGGGGACTGCAGTGAGAGAGGGTACCTGTCAAAACCAGGTACTCACTCCCTCCTCCTCCCCAAAAAGTGCTAAATGTGGCAGCAGAGAGGTGGAGGAGGCAGATAAATGGAGCTTCCACTTTTGGGTGGAACTCCCCTTTAAAGATTTTCGTGAAAGGTTACCATTTGTGACATTTTGCAGGTAGCAATTTTGCAAGAACCATGTTAAGGGACATACTGTAAAAAATGATGTGGCATTGACCAAATATTCACTGCAGATTAATCAATCACTACAATTTAAAATACATGCACCAGTAAGATACACCTGCTGTGAATGTTTGGTGAATGTCACATTCACTGCTTTATAAATATACCCCTAAGTGATCACTTTAAGTATTTGTCATACATACACTACACTAAATTCTTTAGATTCTCTCCTGTGCCGTTTGTATTGTTGGTAGCTATGGAAAACATAGACCTTTATTCAAACACAAGTCTTTAGACAACAAAAACAGTTTACTTCATTCAAGAGAACAGTGAGGGTAAGTCTGCAAGATATTCATATAATCATATGTAAAGCAGAGTGGAAATAAAAAAAGGAAAAATAATTCTTCAAACAACATAGCAGATGTGTAATGGACTATAACAGCATCCGCTGGGTACAGTATTGCCTAATCAGTTAAATTGGTATTCGTTTTTAAACAAATGGCATGTAGGTTATTTCAAATCTTATCTTGGATTTTAAAAATAGAAAGCAAGGTCTAAAAAAATCAAAACATGCTCAAAGCAGCCATCAAGTTTTCGTTGTAAGGCTTATTCATATACACATTCCAGTCTACAGTTTAAAATATGGTCATGAGATGTATACCCACTCAATATTATGAATTTTTCACCATTAATAGCTGTAGTACAACACACCAAATACCCATCTGTCAGCAATAAGATGATTAGTATTAGTATAACAATATATAAAGAGTTTCAAGTGTCCTCAGTCTAATAAATAAACAGAAATCAAAAATAATGTTACTGTGTCAAAAAATATTTTTATTCAGATGGTTGTACCCAAGCAAACCCTAACCCACAATTAAAACTACCTAAAATAAAATATGATATTTCACATCTCCTGGAAAGAACTAAAGTGCAGTCATGTAAACCCATTAATCAATCAAACAACAAAAAAGGTCCCAAAACAAAATAGATAACAATAAAGAAATATAGACAAGATTAAGAGAAGAAATAAACAAATCACATTCTGTCTATATAATGGTAATTCAATAAAGTGACCTTTACTGGAGAAGAATAAAAAAATATATATATACAACCACTACTCATTGGTTCCTATCTAGGTAGAGTAAAAAAGAGAACAAGAAGGCACTTCTAAGTGCAGTAAATCCAGAACATTTAATAAAGGACAGTTAACACCTACAAGAGTGATAAAATAACAGGCTCATCAAATGGACGACTCTGGTGGGGCTCTTATCGCTGTATGTCAGCCCACTGTACCCGCTGTGCCAAAATGGCCATCTTGGCATCACATCCTAAGCTCCCCCTGAAGCTGATGGCCAGCACAGCGAGCTGACATTCAGTGACAAGAGCCCTGCAGAGTCATCCATTTGATGAGCCCGTTGTTTTATCAGTCTTGTAGGTGTTTTTAAGCGTCCTTTTTTTAAACGTTCTGGATTTACTGTACTTAGAATCACATTCTTGTCTGCTTCAGACTTTTAGAAGTGCTGCCCAGTGCTTCTTTCCAGTTATCCTATACACCAGCTGTTATCTTCAAGTTGATTGTCTCCATGGCAGATGCGGTCTATGAACTTTTCTCTTTCTAGGTAGAGTACAACCCAATCCTTTATTGTAAAAAAAAATCAGTGGATGCTGATCCAAATAGGGCACAAACAAATACAGTAAGTCTCTAGATATATAGTCAAAGTTCAGCAATATCCTGATAAAGTGAAGCACTAGTCAGGACCAATACAGCTTGCATGATAGAATCACCTGGGGTGAAATCCGTCTGTAAATCAATAGCAAACCTGCAATATAAACATAAGTAGCAACTGAGCTGGGACTCCGGTGTGTTTGATCACAAGGAAATAGATTCTAAAATACTTTAATTACTCCAATGCTGTACATATGACTATATGTTTGGAAAGTAAAACTCAGTACTCAGTGTAACAACAGAACTATACTTATGTTAGGCCTTTACAAAGAGTTTTGGTCAGTCTTTGTGCTGTGTGCTTTTTAGGGTAAAACCACCAGCATGATGGCACCCTCCTCATTGGAGTGAGACTACACACAGTGGTAAACAGCAGTCAAACCATCTGCAGTTAGTCCATAATAAAGGACTAAATAACTTTCTAAAACTTCAGTAGAAAATTGTTTAGCCTCGATAGTGTATAGTTGCAAACATGGCAGTGTAAAGAATGTCCAAACATACAAAAGTCACAAGAAAGTGAGGATTAAGTCAGCTCAAAACACTTCATTTCAACAAAAGGATATATACCTGAGAACTCTGTTGATATCATTCCACATGCTAGTTGCAAGGAATTGCATCAGGAGGTATGGCTATGGGGAAAAGTGCAAATTAGTTGTAATGCATTTTAGCATCTGAGCAGCAACATTCTCAAGCGGTGGTACCAAGAAGAAAGCTTGAGTAGACCATACTGTACTTGATATACTATTGGGTTTATGTGACTGCACATTGGTATTTTACTTTAATTGGTTTTAATAGTAGGTTAAAGTTTACTGGGCTACAGACATTTGAATAAAAGTATTTTTTTACACAATACCATTATTTTTTACTTCTATTTATTAATTCATTTTTTATTTGTTTGTTTATTAATTGGACTGAGGACACCTAAAGCTCTTTATGTTATACAGTGTCCTGGGGTCAAGGTGTTTTCTTCTGTTTTGCCCCTCTCTTTTGAGAGGTCTTGTATTTTTCTACTGATTATTAACTTTGATCAGATACCTTTGCAGAGTTATTTATCTCCCCATTTGTCGTAATAACATGATCTATCAGATCTCCTCACTTATGTTGTGGGAAATCTATTCCAAAATACACCCACACCAAGCTTCCTGATGTTTATCACTCTTAGAAAGTATGATCTTAAAAAATATCATTTTTTCACAGCCACAAATCATAAAGGCTGCCTTGTAAGTTTGAATGTGATTAGTAATACATAAATATGCCTTCAGGAAGTACATTTCTAGTGACCTGTAATGTGCTTGGTGGGATGTACCTGGCACTGGAATGTAAACAAATAGCTGCCCTAGAAGTATGATGCAAGTATTCTAATAAGCAA